GTCCAAAAACATGTTGAGGTTAATTGGTGATTCTAAATTGTCCGTAGGTGTGAATGCGAGTGTGCTTGGTTGTCTGTCTCTAAGTGTAGCCCTGTGATAGACTGGTGACCTGTCCAGGTGGACCTGCCTTCACCCTAAGTGGGATAGACTCCAGCCCCCCATGACCCTAGTGAGGATTAAGCATTGTATAGATAATGGATGGGTGGATGTTTAAGCTTTGATGCACAAAGATGATTTATTCTGGGTTTAATCAATGACAGTTTTGTGTCTTTGTCTTTCCTGAATCTAACCCAGAATCTGAACAGAACCAGAGACCAGGTTCTTGATGCTGCTGGTCTGATGAGCACATGTTTTGTAGTTAAAGAAACACATTTTCTCGATGTGTCTCTCTGATGTTCGTTGATTTAAGACACTGTTTACTGGTTACACGTGAATCCATCATGTTTTCTTGGTCGTGCCGAGGAACTGAACTGAATGAATGTGGTGCAAACAGTTTATTTTTTGGCACATTTTTGAAAGAAACATGTAAAATAAAGTAATTTTGATGAAATATCGTAATTTAAAACGTAGATTTGCTTCATTCTCTGGTGAAACGTCATGTCACAGGTGATTAGTTCAATGTTGAAAATTGAATTTTCTTTCTGTTTTTACAGTTTCTGGCTGATAAATGGTGTAATTTTGTTGATTTTTTAAAAAGATAACTTTTCTTTCCAACCTGCTGGCGGATTCTGAGGTTTAGATGGTTCAAGGGATTTTAGAATTTCGAATCAAACTTTTAGGATTAAATTAGAAACTAGAAGAATCGTCACTGCTGCCTATAGATCATGTGCACTTTTTACACATAAAAAATTAACACTGTTTTCTCTGTTACACTGATGTCTGCTGCTGCTGTGTCGTTGGATGTAAAGTTTCCAGGAGGAAGAGCTGCACATAACAAAAGTGTTGTTCACCTTAACAAGATTTCACACAATAATCAAACACAGAGATACATATACCAGTAAACACAAAACAAACTATTTCTCTTAAACTTGNAGTGTTGGTGGTTTCATTTATAACAAAACATCACATTTTATTAAATTATTACGTGTTTGGATTTTAATTTGTATCCTCCACTCATCTCTGAAGCCACCTGCCTGAGAAGATTCTTCTTCTCAAATCCTATTTTATACACTTGCTTTTGTGTCATGTTGTTTCTTTGTCATCTTTTGTTCATATTTATTTATATTCACATTTTTACGTCCTTTGTGTTCTTGTTTCATCTTTATCTTAATTTTGCTTTGCTCTGTTTGGCATCATGTCGTTTTTCTGACCTCTCTGTAGGTATCAGAGCAAATTTTTAACTGGCAAGAACTTTAGCTTGATCCTGTGTGTACATCTGGTGTCACACGTGTTGTAAATTGATTTAATATATGCAGCAGCAACAATCAGTGTTTGATTAATGGATGATATGAACTCAGAATATTATTGGTCATGCGTTTATATTGGTCGTGATGCCACAGATTTATAATACTGGTTATGAATATAGCCCACACACATTCCACTGGGATGCAGCAATAATACACTAATTGATCCTGGCCTTATTCAATACATTTTTGCTGGCTGGAGGTCATTAAGCATCACAGAAGTCTTTGTCATGGTGCCCCTGTACTAGTGTGTGGGTTTACAATGCTCTCTGCTTGCCAACACAGCAACACAACTGTTCCGCTCCTCAGGTCGCAACAGTATTACCAATTAAACAGTAGGAGGCTCCACCTGGTGGAACAACCAGGAACTGCAACTGATGTACAATATTTGAAATGCGTGTTATCTGGTATCAGTTATCGGCAGATACTAAAAAATAAATCACTCAGGGGCAAAAATAACTTGATCTAGATATCCACAATTTGTAAACTCTGTTTTTAAATAATTTCTTTCATCATTTCTGTTTTCTGCTCTCACATTAGGATTTTATTTTACTGCGATTGTCAATGTTTTATCACAAAATCATTGTTCAATCTGATTTACTGCTTTGTTTTTCTGGGAGAAATTCCAAAGACAACAAACTTTAAATAGATGTATATAGCATAAAGTGGTATATAATATTACATATTATATGATAGTTTATAGTATTTGTTTTGTCTGCCAAAGCACTTTGCAGAGTCTGTTTTTAAAGGTGATTTATAAATTATCATTACATGTTCGCTAATATTTAGTATTTAGAATTTTTAGAAGGACCAAATGAAATCAAAGATACAGTGAAGCTTAACATAGAACAAGACATTTAAACAGAAGAAAAAATTAGATGAGTCAGAGCAGAGCCAAGCCAGACTACCTGACAAATCAACCACTCAGAACTTCATAGACAAAAAGAAGGATTTAAAAAACCTTCACTCTGTTGTTATACCAAGACCGGATACTTTGGTTTGATGCAGCAACAATCTGTTCAGTTACACCACACAAACCTATAAAATGACCGAAGCATAAAGCAGGAAGACAGAACACTTCATGGTGCGACCAGAGCGCCCCCTGCTGGACGAGCAGCTCCGACTGAACCACCGTCGGTCTGATCGTCCTGCTGTCAGTTTGTCTGAGTGTTTCATGTATCGCTGACCTTCACCTGTCCGTCTGTCCGGCTGTTTCTTGTCTGTGATCCGAAGGAGAGGAGCAAAGATTATCAATGTCCATCGCTCCAACACCACGCTGGCTGATTTCAGACCCATCATTAGGTAGGAATCCATTCTGTCCGTCTCAGCTTCATCTCTGCTGTCACTTGTTTCTGTGCTGCTGATTTCACCTTTATTGTCACTTTTTAAACATACCCTCACACACACAGCAGCTCTGCCTCCTGGAAATGACTTTTACATGCAACTAAAAGGTGTTTTAGGCACAAAACCTCTGCTGGATTATCGTCAGAGGCTACTTTTTTTTAGCTGGAACGAATAAAGCGTCATATTTCTGAATTATATAACAGTCAGCAGGAGGAGGAGGTTGACCTACAAAGCCTTCACTCTGGAGGTCCCAGTACCAGAACCAGGCCAGAAATCCTGAGTTTTGCCTTGTTATCATGTGCATGTGGTGTTTTTTTATATATGCTCGAAGACATATCATGGGCGAAATGTGCAGCATGCAGAAGTAAATATCCATATTTTTATTTAAAACCAATCTGGTCAGCTTGCAGGGTAGAACTTTCTCT